TGAGAGGGGACCCTGCTTTCCCCTGTCCGTGCCCAGTGGGGACCCAGCTCCTTGGGTGCTGCACCGTTATGACGTGTCTCCATAGCCGGGCTCACCCTGCCTGGTGCTGGCTTCTTCTTCCCCCCCCTCCATCCGCCACTTCATCTGTGCCTTTTTAAATGCCCTGTGACAGTGGCACGCAGGGCTGACATCATCAGCCAGGCTCCTGCTAGTCAGAAGGATAGTGTGCTTGAAAAGTAGTGTTGCAGTGCTGTGCGCTGTACCAGTCTGGGCTCATCCTCTCCCCCAGGTAAGTTTTTGGGTTCCCTGCCATTTTCCCTCTGGTCTCAATAGGGTTCTCAAGGGCTTGGGAGACCATGTGTCATCCTCGCTGCCACACTGTACAAGGCCTAAAGCTAATGCCAGACCTATTTTGAGAGGGGGAGATAATCTTTTAGGTGCAGGTCTTTTAAATGCCAAGGACCCAGGACAGCAGTAAATATTCCAGCATTGACTGCTACTCAGTTTACTATTGAAGGGCAGGGTAAGGGGGGAATGTCAAGAAAGAACCTTTTTAACTGAGGTCCTCCTTTCTCCACACACACCCCTATCTTGTATTGTCAAAGTAGCAAACTGCTTTCATTGCATGGTCAAACTGTCTGTCCTTGGTGCAGTACGCTGGTTGGCTCCTGTCCCACACCTCAGACATAGCTGTCCTTATTATGAAGTACTAAATTGCTTTGGGATCAAAGGTAGTGTAACATTTACTTTTAAAACAGTCCTATTAGCCAACAGCTAATGCAGAACAGTCATTGTACAGCCCATCCATAGATTAAAAAACATCTTTAATACCAGTCAATTTTAGTGCAACCACAATTTGGTGCAATGCAAGACAATTTAATTTCCAAAAAGAATCAGAGTAACAAGCATGCAATAAACTGGGAGCTGGATGGGATGGGAAGAACTGGAGAAGAAAATGCTATTCTAGCAGAATTAGGTTAATATACATGATTTGTGTTCTGTAGCTGGCCTTTCTTTTCCATTTTTTTAACATTTTCTTTTCCAAGCTACAACACTGTCCTCTGGTTCCTGTCCTGTAGTTACAGTGAGTCTGTCTAGTGAGAGGTGTTAACAGTTCTCTCATTGGGGAGGCATGTGATTTCAGTGATGGAGCTACTAGCAAAGACAGCTGCTTTAATGGCTGTCTTCTAACCCTACTCAGAGCAGCCCAGGTGGCACAGTAGCAAAAACATATGTGCCTCCATCATTGCCAGCACTTGTCTTCCCCCAGCAATGAGAGAACTCCTAAAGCCTAATGGTGAGAGTCCCTGCAGAAGATGTCACCTGCAGCTATGATTTCAGCCCTCATCTATACAGCACTGGGTAGCTGAGTGCAGTCAGTACCAGCAGCAACAGGGCCACAGAAGTCTGAGAAACTGCAAGCAGCTGCCTTGTCTGTACTGACCTAGCAATTCTCCCATTTTTTTTGCCAAAGCCCAAATTTCCCTTTCTGGTCCACGTTTCATCCTCTCATTCAGCGCCTGCAGCTAGCATTTGAAATGAATGCCCATAAAGTAAGACACCAGCATGCATTTGTTACAAGCTAGTAATACTGTGTGAAGCCATCCTGGCACTACTGTCTACGGATTGGTGTGATTGTTATTGCCACAGGTAGGGGCTCCCATCACCAACTAGGACTGCTTTGTGCTAGAAGGTGGTAGAAGGAAGAAAACATGGTCCCTGTTACAAAGTGCTCACAGTTCTGGTTGAACTGAGAATTTTGAAGAGGGGGGTGCAGGTGGTGCAGCACATCATCACACAACACAAAACCTTCAGTTAGAGTCTAGATCACCGCTTTTCAAACCGTGGGGTGTGCCCCCCCCCCCCCCCCCCCCCCACAAGGCATGTGAACAAAGGTGCAGCACAGGGGGACATGGGCAAGTAGTTTGCAAGGACCTGGTGCCACTGCAGCCTTGTGGGGAGATGCAGGGGTGGCTCCAGAGGGCTGCTGTGCCTTTTGGAGCCTGGTGTGGCAGGCACACAGCCCAGAGCCACAGTGGGACCAAGGCAGGAGGCGCTGGAGCCATGGCAGGTGGAGTCCACCCTGGCCAGTGCTGGCTGCGGCTGCTAGGATGCGGCGTGCTTTGTCCCTGGCTGCACTGCTACTCTGGGGTGAGGGAGGTGGGGGGGGCATGAACAAAATTCCAGTATAACTCAAAGGGGGGCTTAGCTCAACAAGTTTGAAAACCGATGATCTAGATGCTCTGCTAATATGCTAGGGACTTGCCCTACATTATCTGGTTTAAGATTAAAAAAAATACATAACTATTGGAATGTGCACTCTTTGGCTAAATTATACATAGTTTTAGAAAACATAACTAGGCTAGAAGTAGTCAAAAGATATTGTATCACTAGTCGTGTAGTCATTATCCTTAGATGCACCTCTTGTTCAGGACCCAGCTACACATTCAAATAAGAGCCAGACAGAAACCAGCTCTAGACTTGTTGCATATTTTCCAAGTAGGGATATAACTATCCTTTAAAAATTGTTTAACCTCTAATTATATTGGTTAAAGGATTAAATGATAACCAGGGATCCTGGTTTTCCCTGATATAAAATCACAGATTCTCTGCTAAAAACCCCCAAATCTGTTATTAAAATTAAAGGCTCCCCACAGCACCCCCCCCAGCCCTGCTCATGCCTCTCACTCCCCCCCTCTCCCACAGCTGCTGCTCCCCCAGGGCTGCTGGAGGGGGCCCCCAGCTGCCAGGGCTATGGACCCAGGTCCACAGTCCCCTTCCCCTGCTCCACCCTGCTGTGGGCTGGTGGGGGGGCCCTCTGTCTGCCTACCATTGTGTGTACTCCCAGGGGGCAGAAGGGACCCCTACTCCCCAGATCTCTTCGTAGGGCAGGCACAGGCTGTAGGCTCGGGCTCCCACCCTGCTTCTCTCCCCTGGGGCCTCTGCAGCCCAGTGGGCACAACCCAGCCAGGACACAGCAGGGCCACGCGGGTTCTCCTTGCCATTCCGAGCTCCATGCTGCCCTGTGCGTGCTGCTGCTTTTGGGGCACAAGCCTGCACCGCTGCTCTCACTGCAGCCCTGTGTGCAGTAGGCACGTCGCTGGGGCAGTGTAGAGCTCACAGCAGCAAGCAACTTCTGCATGTGGCCCCGCTGTGCCCTGGGGAAAAACACGGAGTGTCCACCTGTCCGGCAGTGCGTGGACCTGGACTGGCGTGCTGTCGGCCCCAGCAGACTCTCTGCTTCCCTGAAGTGAGCCTGAGCCAAGCCTTAGGTAAGTGTGAGCCTCGGGCTCCACCCTCCCCCTCCTCGGGACAGGGCTGGGGGTTTCCTGGCCTTTTTGCAAGAAGCTCTTGCAGGCTGGAACTCTGCGGGTATCTCTGCTGAAAAGAAAAATCTGTTTTTTCTCTGATAAATTTGGAAAATCTGTGGTTTTCTCTGTTTTTTCATGGGAAATGGAAAACACAGCTGCTGCTGGGAGCCACTTGGGGTGGGACGGGGAGGCAAGCACAGCCACCTGAAGCCCCGCTGGGCGGGAGGGAGTACCTATGAACGGCAGTTAATTGGTTAATTGAGGAGTCAGGCTGCTCCCTGCTTACCTCACCTCCCCTCCCCTCCCCTCCCCCATGGTACTACCCCCA